CCACACTGAACAAAGAGATGGCAAGTCTGAACTTGAGGCTAAATGTCAGATCGTAAATGCTGTGTAGATATTTATTTGGTCAGAACTGGTGCCCCTGCTAGCCACCCTTCTGCTTGCTTATGCCAGCACATGTGATGACAGGAGACTTGTTCAGCAGCCTCCCTGAATGCCCTAGCAAATGGCCAGCACCAGTAGCTGAGCAGCAGAGGATGTCTGAACAAACAGATGGATATAAGGAAACTGAGGCCTTTCCTAGTGAAAGGAGCAGAAGAGGAGGGATTCAAGGAAACCATGTGTCCTTGCCACGAGGGACCAGTTGTTCCTCTGCCTGCCCCACAGCACTGGCGCATGCCCGTAGTCCCAGCCACTTGGGAGGCTGAGGCAGATGAATTCCAAGTTCCAGTTCGCTCTTAACAACTTACCAAGATCTTATCTCAAAATAAAAATTAAAATGGGTTGGAGATGGGCTGGGGTTGTGGCAGAGCACTCGCCTTGCATATTTGAGGTTCAATCCTCAGCACCACATAAAAACAAATAAACAAAATAAAGTTATCATGTCCATCTACAACTAAAAAATATATATATACATATTAAAAAGGGGGGTTAGAGATGTGGCTCACAGATAAAGCATCCCTGGGTACAACTGCCTCTACCAAAAAAAGAAAAAGAAAAAGAAAAAGAAAAAAATTAAACAAACTACCTTGTGGGCTATTGTGAGTCACAAGCTAAAACACAGCTGTGGACACACAGTCACATCAGCTGCTCTCATCATAACCATTATCATGTGCCTTTGGTTCCATTAAAAGAAAAGGATGCAGCAGCCTCCTTTGCTGTACCAAGTGCAACAAATTCGTTGGCATGCTTGCTGGGGACTGGTGGTGCAGGGACAGGTGCCAGCATAGAGTGGTGGTGGTCAGAGAGTGTTCAATTCATCTGCCAGATCAGCAGCAAGCAAGTGTAGACTGCTGTGAGGAGGAGGAGGAGGAGGAGGAGGAGGAGGAGGAGGAGGAGGAGGAGAGCAACAAGAAGGAAGAAGACCATGAGGAGAATGGAGAGTTCCCAGCAAAACTTTAAGCAGAGTGTGGAGAGGATTCCCCATGTCCCTGTTTGTAGAGAAGTCAGATTACAGGAGAGGGTTTGGATTTGGTAAACCTCTGGCAAGACCTGTCCCCATCCAAGGAACTGATGATCATATACAGTTCAGGGGGGCCATCTGAATCGCAAAACCCTACACCTTGAGGATCTTTTTTAAAAATATTTTTTATTTCGCTTTAATTACTCATACATGAATGCATTTTGTTTCATTGTATCAGATGAGCACAACTTTTCATTTCTCTAGTTGTATAAGATGTAGAGTCATACCATTTGTGCAATCATACATGTACCTAGGATAATGATGTCCTTCTCATTTCACCATCTTTCCTACCCCCATGCCAGATCCCCTCCTCTACCTCCCCTTTGCCCAATCCAAACTTTCTACATTTTTCCCATACCCCCCACCCCCACCATAGATCAGCATCCACTTATCATCAGAGAGAATATTCGGTATTCTGTTTTGGGGATTGGTTTGCTTCTCTAAGCAATATATTCTCCAACTCCATCCATTTACCTGTAAATGCCATAATTTTATTCTCTTTTAATGCTGAGTAACATTCCATTGTGTGTGTGTGTGTGTGTGTGTGTGTGTGTGTATATATATATATATATATATATATATATCTATCACAGTTTCTTTATCTATTCATCTATTGAAGGGCATCTAGGTTGGTTCCACAGTTTAGCTATTGTGAATTAAGCTGCTGTAAACATTGATGTGGCTGCGTCACTATAGTATGCTGATCTTAAGTCCTTTAGGTATAGACTGAGGAGTGGGATAGCTGGGTCAAATGGCAGTTCCATTCCAAGTTTTCTAAGGAATCTCCATATTGCTTTCCAGAATGGTTGCACCAATTTGCAGTGCCACCAAGAATGTATGAGTGTACCTTTTCCCCACATCCTCATTTGCACACTTGCTGGGGACTGGTGGTGGAGAAACATGTGCCAGCATAAAGTGGTGGTGGTCATAGAGTGCTCAAGTTCATTTACCACATCAGCTTCAGGCAACCACTGTAGACTGCTGTGAGGAGGAACAGGATGAAAACAAGGATGAGGAAGAAGACCACAAGGAGGAAGAAGAGTTCCCAGCAAAACCTTAAGCAGGGTGTGGAGAGGAATCCCCATGTTTCTGTTTGTACAGAAGGAAGGTCACAAGAAAGGATTTGGATTTGGCAGATTTCTGCAAGATCTGTCCCCATCCAAGCAACTAATGATCACATACAGTTCCAGGGGGGCATCTGAATCCCAGGACCCCTCCTTGAGGATCTTGCTGGAAGCAGCTCCTGTACCCTGGAACACACACTGCCTGCTGATGCTGATATCTCAAGTACAAGCACAGCATGTAAACCAAACTAAGGACATAGGCTCCACGTCTCTGTGATGCACACATCTGATCTGCAGAAGCAGCCCAGTTAGAAACTTCAAGCCTCTCATATACAACAAATAAATTTGCCGTGGGGTCCTTATATGCAGATCCTCAATATTGTCTGAAACCAGGCAGAGCTATGTGGTACAGAGGGGACAAGAGTCATCTCCCTCAAAGAGCAGCCTAGGACTGTTAGACTAGAGGCTGGCGAGGGTGCAGGATAGATAGATGGAGATTGAAGAGAGGCTGAGGAAAAGGTTGGGTGGGAGCAGGAAATGAAGATGTGTTCATAGTTACTGCATTTCTCCTAGCAAGATAAACATTGAGTGCCTTGGGAGAAAGAAAAATGTACTATCACTTCAGGAAAAGTGGCCTAGGCTTTTTTTTTTTTTTTTAATAATTTATTTTAGTTGTAGTTGGACACAATACCTTTATTTTATTTTTATGTGGTGCTGAGGATCTAACCCAGGGCCTCGCCTGTGCTAGACAAGCACTCTACCTCTGAGCCACAGCTCCAGCCCTGGCCTAGGCTTGAGGACTGGCCAAGCTGTCTTCCGGTTTAGAAAACTATTGTTTCTTGGGAATTTCACTGTCAGTAACTATGGGAACAGAAAAGAGGAATACCAAGGAAGAGGCAAGGGGAGTGTGAGACTCCAGGACCAGGATCTGGGGGTCCTCGGATATACTGATGACCATCATCTGGGCAAAACTGGATACCAAGTAAGCCCCCATTTCCACTGATCCCTGCAGCTGAGCACCTGAGCATGTTAAGTGGAACCTATAACTCAGACTAAGTTTGATGTCCCAGAATTTTGTTTTTATTTTACTTCTCCCTCTCCCTCTCTTCCTCCCTCCCTCGGCCTCCTTCGCCCCCCCCCCCTTCATCATTCCCTCTCCCCCAACCCCCCTCTCTCTCTCTAATTGGGACTGAACACAGGGGCACTCTACCATGAAGTTACACCAACAACCCTTTATTTTTATTTATTTATTTGTTTATTTATTTGTACCAGGGATTTAACCCAGGGGCACTTTACCACTGATCCACTTCCCCAGGCCTTTTGGTTATTTTTGAGACTTAGTCTCACTAAATTACTTAGGGCCTTGCTCATTTGTTGAGGTTGGCCTAGAACCTGCAATCCTCCTATATATGCCCCCCTCTCCGCCCCTACTCAGTGGGATTAAACGGGTGCTGCCACCACACCTGGCCTTCCCAGCATGTTCTTGCAATACACTGGAAATCAGCAGGGGTGGTTAGCTCTGCTACCACATGAATTTGAAGAAAACTGTTTCTACCATGCCTTGTCCACAGGACTTGGTTTGTTTTAAAACAGCATAGGGGACCAATTAGAGGTAGAACTTGCATACTTATCACTTCCTAGTGACAAAATTTCCTATCCTGGGCCTGCCTCAGTAGCCCCAGCATTTGACAACAGGCAGACAGTATGGCATGTGTCAAGGCCCTGTGGTGGGAGGCTGTATGACTGACACAGCTACAGTTTAGAAGCAAAGGGTTTGCTGAGGTTGGAAGGGTTGGTGGCAGCTAACTCCCCAGAACTTGAAAGCAAAACAAAAAATTTGGGATATTCTAAGAGGAATAGGAACTGCAAAAGAATTTTAGGCAGGAGGATGACCCTTTTTTGTCTGCTTGCTTGTTGGTTGGTTATTGAGGCTGGGGATAAAACCCAGGGCTAAGTAGATGCATTACTACTAAGCTATACTCCCATGGCTTAAATTAGACTTTAAAAAACAAAGATAGGTAGGAAGTAAAGTGGCTCATGTCTGTAATCAGCAGCTTGGGAGGCTAAAGCAGGAGGATCACAAGTTCAAGGCCAGCCTCGGCAACTTACCCAGGTCCTGAGAAACTTCGTGAGACCCTGTCTCAAAATAAAAAATAAAATTAAAAGAGCTGAGGATGTGGTTTGATGTTTAAGCACCCCTCAGTTCAATCCCTGGTACAAAAAAAAATTCTTTTTCAGACCTTCCCACTCCCTACTCAGGTCTCAGTGTCATAAGAAACTAAACACCACTATCTTCCACCCCTTTAAAAACAATGGATCCTCCCTAAATGATGAGATTAAATACTCCTTCTTTCTCTCATACCAATACTTCGGTACCCACATCAGCAAAGACACTCAGGGACACAAACCTTGTCCAGGAGATTCTCCTCTGCCACCAACAATGTCCCAGTCTTGAGGATCCAGATACATGCCAAGCTTGAACGAAACACCAGCAAACAGAAACCACCAACTCAGAACTCAATGCTAACAATACTGGTTGTCTCATGACAATGAGATTATTACCAACAATTCCCCTGCCCTTTTCTTTTTTCCCTCTGCAGTACTGAGAATTGAATCCAGGGTTGCTCTACCATTGAGCTCAGCCTCCTGAGGAGCTGTGATTATGGGCCCATGCCATCATACTTAGCTTTCTACAGTTTCTATATATCCCATGTACTAGACAATGCAATGATTTACTTTAATAATCAGTGTCTCAGGGACAGTAGTAGAGGAGGGAATCTTCAAAAATCTGAATGAAGGGGAGAAAAACAAATCCAATAAATACAGTATACACACTGAAAACTAATGAATGCTCACAGGATGTGCTCAGAAGATTCAAGTTCAGTTGTTAGTTAATTTTCATGTTTAAGGATGACAGATTCAATCAGAGAGAACAGTAACTCACCACAGACTCCCAGGGGCAGTGGTGCATGCCTATACTCCCAATAGCTTAGAAGGGCAAGCCAGGAGGATCACAAGTTCAAAGAGAGCCTCAGCCTAAAAATTAAAAATAAAAAGGGCCAAGGATATGGCTCATTGGTTAAACAACCCTGGATTCAATCCCTGGTTTCAAACAAACAAATACCCTGCACAGACATAACCAATCGGGACCTACACAGCACCCATGTGGAACTGTTTGTCAATTATGATTTTTTCCCTCACCCTGCAAGATAACATCCACAGAGCAGAGATTGGGATCAAGGTGCCAGGCACAGTCATCAACTCCAGAGAATATGTCTGACCGGATATTTTATATATATTCCCTGGGATGTGAGACTAGTTCAGAAGGTTGAACTTACAGCTCATCCAAGGAGAAGCCTTCCAGGACTAGCATCTTCAGTGAGAGAGCCTTTGCCTCAGCAAGCTTGATTTTGGCTAACTAAAATGGGATCTGGATTAGGGATCATTTCTGGTGTCCTGGTTGGGTGAACACATTTGTCACTTAGACTGCCTTTAATTCTTCTCAGGGCTTGGTGAGCTGCTTGTAGCTTTGAAAGATGAGCTACTGGCAATCAGTGGAGCTATGGAGCATTGAACCAATGGAGCATTGGACCATAGTAGCATATTCTTTCACATAAAATGTGAAGAATGAAATGCATTTTGGTTTTTGTAATGTCATGACTTCTAGCAATAAATGATGTTTTTATGTTTTATGGGCTGCCTCGTCACACTCCAAATTGCAACATGTAGGGCAAAGACTCAGTTTATTTTCTTTCATTGCAGTGCTGTGGATAGAAAGCTCTCTATCGATGAGCTACTTCCTCAGGTCTTTTCTTTCTTTCTTTTTTTTTTTCAGAACCAATATTTGAACTCAGGGGCACTCTACCTCTAGGCTGCTTCCCAGGACTCTCCCCTGTTTTTATTACTTATTGTGAGATGAGGGATTGAACCCAGATGTGCTTTACCACTGACCTACATCCTTAGCCCTTTTTATTTTTATTTTGAAACAGAGTCTCACTAAATTGCTGAGACTGGCCTCAAACTTGTGGTCTGCCTGCCTAAGCCTCCTGAGTTGCTGGAATTATAGGCTTGTATGACCACACATAGTTTGTTTGCTTTTTTTTTTTTTTTGAAGGGGATTGAAATGGTAATGTGGTAATTTTGTAATGTCATTTTGTCATGAACACATTTCAAATTTTATGTTAAAATGGGCTTTTCATGGGCTGGGGATATAGCTCAATTAGTAGAGTGCTTGCCTCATATGCACAAGGCCCAGCACCACAAAAAAAAAAAAAAAAATGGGCTTGTCAATCCAACTTTATAGTCATTGGAGATCCTCATTTTGCCTTGGAGCACCTTTAACAGTCTTCTCATTGTCCATTACCTTGAAATGTGACATGATCGTCCTATCAGCTATAAATCTGAAGCCCCAAATAAACAACTAAAACTCTACTATTGAGCACAACACCTCTACACTACTTGTGGAACCTTGGTAGGCCCCTTAACATCTGTTTGAGACCTCCCTTATAAACAGTGATGATGCAAAAATTTTATTTCATTTTTTTTCTAGTGCACAGGATCACATCTCTGGCCTCACATACTAGCCAAACACTCTATCAAGACTCTACCATTGAAGGACACTTCCAACCCATCAAAGGACACTTCCAACTCATCAAAGGACTAATCTTTGGGGCAGAATAAGGTGAAGAAGAACCTGCCTTTGCTTTTAATCCAAACTGAAATGCTTTTCCACATATACAGATTTTGGATTTTTTGTTGTTGTTTGCTGAGAGCCACGGCCGAGTCTGTATGGCCTGGTGTTATTTTGACTTGTTTACAGACTCTAACAGTTGTTGTTGTTGTTTTGGGGTTTTGTTGTTGTTTTTGGTACAGGGGATTGAACTCAGGGGCATTCAACTATTGGGTAACACCCCCAGCCCTTTTTCTATATTTCATTTAGATGCAGGGTGTCACTGAGTTGCTTAGAGCCTCACTAAGTTGCTGAGGATGGCTTTGAATTAAAAATCTGCCTCAGCCTCGCAAGCCACTGGAATTACAGGCCACTTGTGGGTTACCAACCCAGCCTAAATCTTAACTTATGTTCAGGCCACTTCCAAGGAGCATTCCCTCAATAAATAATCCACTCAAGTCTCTGCCTCTCCAACACTTAAATGCTTAGCATCAGGGCCATGCAACCTAGCTGTCTCTGTGTTTAATCATGACTGACCAGTTTCAGAATTTGGGTTCTCGAGCCACCTGTAGTCATAGGCTGTCCTCAACTCCCAGCTATGCTACATAAATAGTGGCTAGATGACTAGGAAATGAGGGGAGAGGCCAGAAGGGAGGGCTGAGGCAGAGTTCGCTTCTTTCACCCTGCTTTCCATAAAATAGAAGGATCTGAAGCCTGCTACTCAAGTCACACATTCCTTTCTGTGACCTCATTGGGTAGTGATGACATCACAAGCCTAAGTTTCCATGGCAGGATAATGCTAGAAAACTTCTCTACTAGTTTTCTACAGGACACCAGAGTGTCTGGTTGCTCCAGAGAATATGTCTGACCGGATATTCTATATTCAGTCTAACTTGTCTGCTGTCCCCTGGGAGAGCAGTGCAGCAGGTAGGCCTAGGCCATCTGTAATGGAGCCCCTGGTAAATATACAACCTCATTTGACTGCCACATCTTCCTTTAGGGTTTCCCCATCACACCTCAGAACTTCTCTAGCCATGAGTAAGACCAATGGTCTGGCGCTCCCTCAAGGACCCACAGTGTTGCTGTGCTCACTGCTGAGAACAAGTGTTCAAAAAGGTGCTAATCTTTATCAATCTAGCCTTCCCTTTTAGCCTCCCCCAGTGCTTCCTT